CGAATGAAACCCCTGTACCTCTTCTTCCATACGAGGCCAGTAAAAACAGCGTCGAATATTGGCCAAGGTCCTCTCAATTCCTGGGTGTCCGGCCGCCTCATGGTATTTCTGCCAGACCTCTTGGCACCTAGATGCTGGGCACACGATTTGGGATCGTAGCTCATGAGTGTTGGGGTCAATTACCTCTCGGTAGAGCACCTGCTCTCGGACAACCAATTTCTTCCATTGTTGGAGGATCCTTCTGGTATTTCCGGTCATAGCCGTCTTCTCTGGTCCTTGTGGAGGCAGTCCCTGGCCCACATACCTCTTGATGATGGCAATGTCTGGGTCATCTTGTTGCCAGTTTCCCCAATCGCCGGAGAGTGGCGCCACTCCATCCTCTTGGTCGAGTCCAGCAGTAGTACAGTTGACCTTAGCCGATGTTCTACCTGTGCACATGGACACTTGGGGGAACCTGGACAGGGCATCAGCATTAGCATTCTCTTTTCCAGAGCGGTACTTCACAGTGTAATCAAAAGAGGCCAGTTGTGCGACCCACCGCTGTTCCACAGCACCCAGACGAGCAGTCTGTAAATGAGCCACTGGATTGTTGTCCGTGAAAACTACGAATTTAGCCCCAGTCAGGTGGTCTTTAAATTTCTCTACAATAGCCCACTTTAATGCCAAGAGCTCTAGCTTGAAGGAGCTATAGTTTGCATCGTTCTGTTCTGCCGGGTGCAAGCTACGGCTAGCATAAGCTATTACACGCTCTCGGCCGTCTTGCACTTGGGCAAGAACAGCCCCTAGTCCTCTGTTACTTGCATCAGTGTACACTACAAAAGGCAGGGCAAAGTCAGCATAAGCTAGGATTGGGGCTTGGGTTAGGGCAGCCTTCAGTTGCTCAAACGCAGATTGGCATTCTTTTGTCCAAAGTATCTTCTGGGACCCCGATCTTTTATCAGTGGGAATGCCTGCTAAAAGCGTATTCAAGGGTCGGGCAATCTTTGAGAATCCCGATACGAAACGCCTATAATAGCCAGCCAATCCTAGAAAAGCTCTGACCTGTTTGATGGTCGTTGGAGGACTCCATTCGGTGACTGCAGACACCTTTTCGGGATCGGGACGGACCCCTTCCTTGTCAACCACATGCCCCAGAAACTTCACCTGTTTCTGCAGAAGTTTACATTTGCTGGGTTTAAGTTTCAGACCATACTTCCCGAGTCTCTTAAACACCTCTTCCAGATGCTGCAAGTGGGAGGAGAAATCATTTGAGTAAACAATGATATCATCGAGGTAAACAAGCAGTGACTCCGTTAGTTGTCCGCCTAGGCACCGTTGCATAAGGCGCTGAAAGGTAGCAGGGGCATTACAAAGACCAAATGGCATCCTATCAAACTCGAAAAGACCCAATGGTGTTGTAAAAGCAGTCTTCTCGCGATCTTGTGGGTCCATCTCCACCTGCCAGTACCCACTTGCGAGGTCTAAAGTCGAAAACCACTCAGCCCTATTGAGGGTGGTAAGGGTCTCTTCAATTCTGGGGAGGGGAAATGCATCCTTATGAGTCACAGAATTCAATTTCCTGTAATCCACACAGAACCTCAGACTTCCATCTTTCTTCCTTACTAGCACAATAGGTGAAGCCCATGGACTAGAGCTCTCTCGAATCACATTGTTCTTTAGCATACCTGCCAGCAGAGTCTTCATATCCTTATAGAGAGTTGGAGGTAAGGGCCGGAACCGATCTCGGATTGGAGCTGCATCACCTGTGGGTATTCTGTGTTGAACAATGCCAGTCCGCCCAAAGTCATCATCGTTGGCAGCAAAAACATTACTCCACTTATTTAACAGAACACCCAGGTCTACCCGTTGTTGCTCAGTTAGATCAGGCCGGTCAACTAAATTGTTCACCTCGCAGTCAGGATTTAAATCTTCTGGGACCTCAGAGGCCTCCACGACGCCAACCTGAACTACACCCTCGCAGTCTTGTGTCAGGCTTAAATCCTCCTTTCCATACAAATCAGTCTCCTCCACTTGGCTGATAGTTCCCAACTTCTGGTATCGGCCTATGGACAAACTGTAGGGGTGAGGATTACAAACACGAACAGGGAGTCTTCCTTTCCTTACCGTTACCACGGTTCTTGCGGTTCCAACGGCACTAGTGTGTGGGAGGGCCTCCACTAGTCCACAATAATCAGTCCCTTTTGGGCCCATACGAGCACGGCCCCATATTACTACTTCGGTGAAGGCTGGAACACGTACCTTCTGGCGGGTAGCTGGGCGGACATAATGTGTAGACAAGTCACCTGTCGAGACGCTGATCCGCCGGCATGTAGCGAATGCTTGACTCCAAGCCTTCTGAGCCTGAGGGCTATCACCGGGCAGTGTAGATCCCCCAGTCTTCTGAAAAAGAGTCTCCCAGCAAGCACTAATGACATTCATTCCCAGAATCAAGGGATTAGTTGAGCATTCGTTTTTTACAATGACAACACCCCTATTCGGTATCTTAATGTGTCCCACTTCAAAGTTCATCACCGCGTAGCCTATATACGGGATTTCCAGGCCATTAGCCGCTTTGAGAGTCAATACAGCCGGGGTTCCTCCCACACCCAGCTTGCAATCAGGGAAATGTCGTTCCAGTACTTGCTGTTGCATCAAAGTTACTTGAGAACCAGTATCCAGTAACCTTGAGAGTTCTACTCCATCTATGCGAACCTTTACCATTGGACAATTTCCTACAAAGGTTGGGGTGGCCCCTACATTGGCTATACTATCTGACCCTACTACTCGGACCTCAGGAGCAGGGCTAACTAGTTTAAAGCCGGCCTGGTTTCTGAAGTTGCCCTACAAAATCTAGCCACATGTCCCGGCTGTTTACAGCGACGGCAGATAGGCCTACCTTCAGTATCCCATCTATTAGAACAGTCAGATGGTGCTTGTCGTCGTCCACCTACTGGGGGAGCATAAATGGGATGGTTAAGTTGTCTGGGCTCTAGGAGAGGTCGCAGTTCCCGAACAATCTCCTGAGTCAGCCCTTTCATCTGGCCCGCCACTTCTGCCATAATCTCATCTTTAAAGGCTTGTTTCCAGTCCCGTTCGGATGTCAAGGGCTTTGCTGCCTGGGCTTCTCGTACAGCAGAACACTCTACCCCGGTCAGTCTTTCACCACCATGCTCGTCATCCAACAGCATTGCTTCCTGGCGTAGATCGTCAAAGCTCCGTCCTGGATTACGTCGGGCATAGGTTTTTAGATCCTGGGCCAGGGCACCATCTTCCAAGCCTAGTAGGAACTGTTCACGCAGATTGTTTTCCGTGGGGGCGTCATCCGGGCTGCGTCGTTGTAGCCTGCAATATAGCCCTCGCAAGCGTAACAGATACGCTTTCACAGTTTCTCTAGGCTTTTGATAACAATTATAAAAATGGGCGCGTAATGCAGGGATAGAAGTTTGTTCCCCATAGAGTGCATCTAAATAGGTAAATATTTTAGCAACTCTATCGCGCTCATCCTCAACCAAAACACCAACCTGTTGTTTGGCTTCTCCCCCCAAAGCTCCCAAGACAATTTACTTTCTTTGCTTCAGAAAATTCCTGAATACCTAAAAGTCCTTGGATCTGTTCTTTCCAATCCCCATATTGTAAACTGCCACTAGGTCCTGTATATTTGGGAACCCAGGGGGCACCAGCATACAAAGGCATCATCATCATTATTAAGTTAAACAGGGATCGCTTAGGCCAATGTTCACTGCTCCCGAAAAATCCAAGTCCTGCCAGCAACGCCAAATTTATGTCAGCGGCCGAGGTTTCTTCTTAAAACTAAAAGTGTTGCCAACAACGCCACCTAGGTAAAAGCCCTAGGAACTCTAAATAATTAAAAACAAAGGTTCGTTTGTTTGGAGGGGAGCAGTAAAACAATGACCCAAGAGGAGACAGGGGCGGAAATACGACTAAAAAATATTTATTTTAATACAAAGGTTAAAATATATAAAAGGGAGCTAAAATAGTCCGTCCAGGGTCATCACCACAGCAGGAGCGAAGTCCTGCGCGTCCCTAGTCCACTGATGTGGACGTCTGACTGCCAGTCGCCCTCTGCTGCTGCTGCTGCTGCTGCTGCTGCTGCTGGTGGTGAGTCTGCTCCTGCCCTCCGCTGCTGCTGCTTCTGGTGGTAAGTCTGCTGCTGGTGGTGGTGGTGGTGGTACCTCTGCTTCTCCCTTCTCTCGTGTCTCGTTTCTTCCCGGTTCTCCTTGTTGCTCCCCAGCTCTCCTTGTTGCTCCCCAGCTCTCCTTTCCAGTTTCGCCCTGTTTCTTTCCGTTTCTCCTTCCGCCAGTGTTCTGTCTTCCTGCTTAAAAAGAGAAAGTTCTGCCCCTGGCCTTTCCCCATTGGTCCATTTGCCATATGACACTAATTGCTAATGAGTTGGGGACGATTGTCAATTGAGGACACAACTCAAACAAAACTCAAAGCAGATTATAAATTGTCCAGCATGCACATCACAAAACAACAAGTCATAGAAACATGCAATCATAAAATAACAAACTGTAAAAACATGCAACAACAAATCAATAAAACATGCAATCAATAAAATATGCAATCAATTGTGCATGCAATCAAGGGTCCCCAATCGTCCACCCAGTGACAGGTACAGAAAGTATTCAGACCCCTTTCACCTTTTCCACTCTGTTTCATTGCAACAATCTGCTAAAATCAAAAGTTAAAATTGTATTCATCATGTACACTAAGCACCGCATCTTGACAGAAAAAAGACAAATGTAGAATTTTTTACAAAATTTATTAAAAAAGAAAAACAAATATCACATGGTCATAAGTATTCAGACCCTTTGCTCAGTATTGAGTTATAGTCCCCTTTTGAGCTAGTGAAGCTATGAGTCTTCCTGGGAATGATGCAACATGTTCTTCACACCTGGATATTGGGATCCTCCACCACTCTTCCTTGCAGATCCTCTCCAGTTCCGTCAGGTTGGATGGTGAATTTTCAGGTCTCTCCAGAGATGCTCAATTGGGTTTAGGTCAGGACTCTGGCTGGGCCAGTTAAGAATGGTCAGAGTTGTTCCGAAGCCACTCCTTTATTTTAGCTGTGTGCTTAAGGCTGGCGCATGCGTCGACGCACTCGTTTTAATTCATGGTTCTAAAGTCTTGCGTGTGTTGCAGAGCAATTCACCGCCAGAATAATAGGTGGAGTAACGTGTTTTTGTCAAATACAACCTAGAGAGTCACGTCTTTGTGTGTGGAAGTCGTTGGTTTGTTTAGTTATTTATCATAGACTTTATTGTCCCGTGCATCGACACTGCTGCTTTTCATCACGGACACATTTGTCCCGTATTTTCGTCCACAACTTTGTGCACCTCTCGACCGGCAAACCGGCGTTTGCGCAGATCTCTCTCCATGAATCAGAGGCCGTCCTTGTAGTCCGCCAATGACGGGTTGTATAAGCGGTCATATTTACGCATTTTTTGCGACAAAAGTTCTTCAATCTGATCCGTTCTCTCGTAAACATTCTTCGTTTTAATAATGGCGGTATTGTGCTATGAAAACCAAAATGTGAGACTCCATAAAAGGATGTAGGTTAGCAGACCAATCACAGCCTTGTGCGTTGCGGGAGGCTTGCTTCGCTTTCGACGCACGCAAGGAGGTGTGAAAAGGCACGCAAGGGGGTCTTGCGTCTGCATCGCTCTGAAAAGGCAGAAGCATAAACTAGGCTTTAGAGACATTGTCTCGTTGGAAGTTGAACCGCCGGCCCAGTCTGAGGTCCCGAGCACTCTGGATGAGGTTTTCTTCCAGCGTATGTCTGTACTTGTACATTCATCTTTCCTTCCATTGCGACCAGTCGTCCTGTCCCTGCAGCTGAAAAACACTTCGATAGCACGATGCTGCCACCACCATGTTTCACAGGTGGGATTGTATTGGCCAGTGCCTGGTTTTCTCCACACATGCCGCTTAGAATTAACGGCAAAAAGTTCAATCTTTGTCTCATCAGACCAGAGAATGTTATTTCTCACAGTCTGGGAGTCCTTTATGTGTTTTTTGGCAAACTATGTGGGCTTTCATACGTCGTGCACTGAGGAGAGGCTTCCGTTGGTCCACTCTGCCAAAAAAAGCCACGACTGGTGGAGGTGGCTCAGCCACAGTAATATTTGGGTTCTTCTTTACCTCTCACCAATGCTCTTCTCCCACGATTGCTCAGTTTGACTGGACTGCCAGGTCTGGAATAAGGTTCGGGTTGTCCCAAACTTCTTCCATTTAAGGATTATGGAGGCCACTGTGCTCTTAGGAACCTTGAGTGCTGCCTGCAGAAAATCTTTTGTAACCTTGGCCAGATCTGTGCCTTGCCGCAATTCTGTGTCTGAGGTCCTTGGGCAGTTTCTTCGACCTCATGATTTTCATTTGCTCTGACATGCACTGTGACCTATAAGGTCTTGTATAGACAGGTGTGTGCTTTTCCTAATCAAGTCTAATCAGTTTAATTAAACACAGCAGGACTCCAATGAAGGAGTAGAACCATCTCAAGGAGGATCAGAAGAAATGGACAGCGTGTGTGTTAAATAGAAAAGTTTCACAGCAAAGGGTCTGAATACTTATGGCCATGTGATATTTCAGTTTTTTTAAATAAATTTGCAAACATTTCTGTTTTTTTCTGTCAAGAGGGGGTGCTGAGTGTACATTAATGATGAACACAATTAACGTTTTTGATTTTAGCAAATGGCTGCAATGAAACAGAGTGAAAAATGTAAAGGGGTCTGAATACTTTCTGTACCCACAGTATGTATTGTTTTGCAAACAGTGTGAGGCTGACGGGAGAGCCTGTGATGAGGGGGGGAAGTGAGCGCAGCAGAAAGTAACGGAGAGATGACGATGTTTTAAGAGTCCTAGCGTTTCACCATTGTTTTACCGGTGTTTTGTTATTATTATAATTATATTTAGGTGTTGTAAATAAAAGGGGTGGTGCCGCGGACCTTTTTTTTTTGCCATTGTGCGTTCCTATTTGCCGTTGTGTTTTGCACTTCAGGGCCACCGTAGAGACTACCACTACCATTTGGGGCATGGGGGGGACCTGGAGTAAATTCCTTTTACTAATATATCCAGAAATCGCAAATTACAAATTGGCTTCAGAGGGCAGTACACATGCAACATTCCCTTAAAGACCTCATGGTCTTTAAGGGTTTAGCTCACGGTCTCATGGCGAGGTTTTGACCATATATTACATTGCGAAAAAATAACCACACAGTCACAGTTAGCGTACAGCTCCATCATACTTTTAAATCTTTTTATTATTCAATATTCAATTGTCATTGTTTAGGTTCCCGTCTTGTTTTATTTTGTAGTTCTGCATCTTGGCAACTCTGCATCTGAGTCCTACCTTCTCCCTGCATCCTGACACAATATTATCCCATTTCATGAGAAGCCTGTTTATCTTGTGTTCTTGCTTATTTACAATACTGCTTCAGAGAATATAGTGTTCGGAAACTTGATTCATTTTTTTTCCCCGACAAGAAATTTGGTGGTTTGCACTGCCAACTCACGTTGTATAATGAGTCCGTGCACGGCGCCTGTCCCTGTTTTATTAATGTCTAGTGTAACAAAGGTCCTTAAACAAATTATATGTGCTGGTGTCATGAATTATTAGGTGGCTTTGTTTTCTATATATATATAGATGCAGTAGGAGTAAATAAAGCCCACGTAGCTGCTGTATCCCTTAATACTGTCAGACTGAATCATGGGAACGGAATCATGTTGTGGTTCATAACAGGGCTCACGCATTGAGCGTGACAGTCCCTCATTTCAGTCTCTAGTCCCGTCACACATCCCAATTATCCCACCCCCCGTCAAAATGTCACTCCCAAGTTTTCTTAATTGGACAGTTTGTGCGATTGTCGTCAGACAGAAGTTAACGCAGCTCTTTAATGCTTCTAATGTGTTCATATCAAAGCACACAACACTATGTCTATGTACAATACTTTCATAATTTTTCTGCCAATCGAGCGGGTGTCCTGAAGGTAAATAACTAACTGGTTAGGGCTGCACAATTAATCCAATCGGCCATGATTCTGGTTTTCACAAATGAATGAGCATTATCGTCTGCCATATTGACGTTCAAAATGCGTCCATATCAAATCAAGTGCTGCCTCGACTAACAGTCAGCCAACCACCAGGGGGAGAACGAGGCAGGAGGGGCCATGTCCACACCCTCAGCGGCAGCCTCAAAGACATGTCTGTCTGCCGTGGTATTAGAAGAGTAGATACAGACAAGAGAACAAAAGACGACACGGGTGTGAAAAGTAAACCAAATGTCACGAGCTGAAGGTGAGGAGCTAGTCCCTCGAAAAGGATCATCATCCGTTGTCTGAAAGTTTAGGGCAAGTGGTGTTAACCAAGAAGAAATCATATGCATAGATTGTGTAATCTGTGTAAACCCTCTGAAACCCAAGTGTATGTAAGGGTCTTGAAGGTTAGTAATAATATAAAACCACCTTAACTTCTTATCTCGATAAAGCCAGTTCAATGTACAACACTGTACAATGACCCCGCCTTCAACTCACGTCAGACCCCTCACCAAGACTCCTATTTCCCGCCCCACAATCAATAACAGACAAAAATTCATACATATATTTGTATCTGTACCAATCTTTTCTTCGAACATATTGTCTATCTTTGTTTAACGTAGGCTAATTTACTTTTAACAGCCAGTGTGAATCATGCAAGTGGCGCCTGCAATATTTATATTTTATCAATAAAGAAGGCAAACAAACCAAGCTGTTGATTAAGCCACTACTTAAAAAGTACTGATCTGAAATAATACTAATTGAATAGCTATTTAAGTCCTAAACAACTTACTCTTAAGTTTACAATATGTAGTAAATAATGTGAATGGAAACCGTCAGTTTACAAGACTTCACCCTAAAACGTTAAAGAGGGGAATTAATGTTGCATGTGTGGCACCCTGGGCATTTTGGTGACTTTGCTTGTTTGCAGTTATTGCCTGGTCCCCACACATTTATTTCATGTTAATATGTTGAGATGATTTGTGTGACTTCTGAGATAACCGTCATCCACCTGGAACAGCTGCGCCGCATTCTCTTTGGCCATGAGGGCAGTAGTGAGTTTTGGTGCGAGTGGCGCAGTAGTTTTTGTGCAGGAGAAGTAAATGAATCCCGCCGTATTGGACAGCATAAGAAGCAATTCAGTGTCCGTCACAACAAAAGACTCATGTCCTATGTGTTTTCAGGAAGCAAGGTTTTCTTTGCAACCTGTTCCTCTATGGGGCTGATCACACCGATACCAGGGGGTGACCTATGGTTCTGCTGAGAAATGCCAATTCTAAACACTATTTCAGGACCTGAAATAGTGAACTGATGTGATTATCTTTTTTTCTGTTTGACACCTGTGAATTAGACACCGTAGTGTCTCTTTATCCTGTCTGCGGTGACACAATGCTTCAGTGTCTGATTGATTTATATCCCGCAAAAAACATTTGCGTGCATGGGGATCTTTTCTAGGAGAGACACCTGTGAAAACGCTTTCATGCACTGAAAACATGTAGCTGCTAAATAAAACGACTCATTACAGATTATCTGTATGATATTCAGAGAATTAACATACCAATATATTTACTTTCTAAAGATAAAGTGGTGTAATGTCAGAGCAGAGAAGGAAATCACTCACTTTCTGTGTGTTTTAATCAAACCATGTATACAAGAAGTGAAGCAATTGTTTTGTGGACCGACTATAAACCCATGTTGGTTTATGTGAGTGCGCCCCACCTGTTAGCTTGCGGTTGCTTCTTTTTGCTGCTCTCATACAATCACTACAGGTGATAATGCCGTCCCGACACACATGATTGCACCGTTAGCCTCCAGGAATCAGGAAACATTTATTGCCATAATATGTCACACATAAAAGGAATTTGACTTGGCGGTTGGTGCGTAACAGCAGACAGTACGACAATGGACAACAAGACAACAGTGCACGAGGAATAAAAAGAAAATAATGCTATGGGTTAGTTTAAAATAAAGGAATAAAAGTTAGTTTAAAA